AAATAAATTGTGGATTAAATGCATTAAAAAAGTAATTAAAATGGTAAATTGAACTTTTTGCACTCCAAAAATGACAAGTTGTTGGCGCATTTTCTTATTAGTAAAATGTGCAAAATGTAGTAAGAATTTTTGTACAAAAAGATTTGAAAATTTAAACAGCCAAATTGCCCAATGTACTTGGAAAAGAACCTAAGAAGTTACAAAGAAACTTAACACAAAATGTTATTTATTAATATTTATAAAAATCATAGTTACTGATATTTCAGAATGCACTTTTTGCAAATCTTTCTCCCAATAATGGATTTGTGACGTCTAAAGATCTAATTGAATATTGACACGAAAAAAATTAAAAGGCCAAAGATCAAAAGTTCAAATCAGAAACTAAATCAGTGTCCCAAGGACTGAATTTAAAGAGGTTCCCAGTTTTTCCAGCCAAATCAGAAGCACACAAACAGGCTATATCGCCAACCTCAGCATAAGTCAAGGAAAAATGTAATGTAATTTCATGCAACAATATAGAATGAATTGCTGGATTCCAGTATATTAAGGTAATGAACCAAGATGACAGAATTGAAACCAGAAAAGAAAAGCGAAAATAGTCGTCTAGAAAAATGTATGTATTTGTGTGATCATATTCTAATATGTACCAGCGTCGCAATTGCCAACGCATCTTGAGTAGTTATACAATCTGTGTATCTATTCAACTAAAACGTTTCAAAACATTCTGACCCGAATGAGTATGTGTCCAGAATCCTATCGCATCGATCACCTCTGCATCGAGTATATAGAAAATGCTTCAGTACAAAATGAAGATGCCATTATGCCTTTAAAAGGTTGCAACTTTGCTTCATATTGGAGTGGTACAGGTTTAGGAGATAACGAAATGAAGAATGGAAAGACTGAAAATAGATAAACAATACCCTACAGCGTTTTAAACTCGGTTCTGATTCGGTGCCACTCGGCTGATGTTGTTGTCTGGAAGAAGCACGTTGACTTTGGTTTCCATCAGCCTGTACATGTGCCAAAAATACTTAGCCAGATCCTTAGGAAGCATTTTCTATATCAAATTTGAAAAGAATTTACTGAATTTGCACTTGATCATACTTTCTCACAAAATAAGAGAAA